GTCAATTTTCTGATATTGCCGCAGGGAGTTTGAATCAGGTGACACATCGGCTTCATCCCTTCCCCTCTTTTCGATCATATTTATTATTTTTCTCTGATTTTTAAAGTAAATTTATTTGTTGGTCAATATATTTTTTCTCAATTACTTATTTTATTCCTTTTATTAGGTTAAACTTGAAAGTGTCATGGAATATGGCTCATTGACTCCCAATATCCCTGACAATAGACACCGCTCGTCTCTTGGTGATTCGTGCCCTACTATAAATTCTACAAGCTTTACCGACAGCTACAATGTCCACCCCTCCTTAAAACCTAATCGTTATCATGTACGTGACACTTCACCTGTTCATTTTACGGCAAAGCTCTCCCCATCTGACCACTTAATGAATCACCATACTACACATGCGCTTCAAGTATCTCATACGTCAATGTCTCAACAATTGAATTTGACCCCTAATAGTTCCACCTTTACCCAACAGCCTTCTGGCCAATTAGTTGCTCCTGTTGCTGCTCATCCAAATGTCACTGGTGTTGCCGTCACACCGGGAGTCGGACAGTCAGCTGGGATCTTGGATTCTTCCGGCTCGCTTTTGCCAACTCTCTCACAGCACAAATCGGGTTCCGCTTTTCAGCCACGTATTGTACAACCACAACAATATCTGTCTAGTTGTTCTAATAACTCTCCCGGTGTCATGCACCAATCATCTACAAATAGATCGATACTTCAGACTCAGACATCCTCATCCACTCAGCCTCTCCCACCTTCAAGTAACCCAGTGGTCAGCATTCCCGCTCCTAATAATAATGCTATAGGGATTAGTCTCACTCCTACAAATAATTCACTTGGATGTGGAGTAGCTGCAGCAACTACTGGCACTATTGAAATCCCCAATGCAAAGCCCAGTGAAGCTCTATTCGTGCGGGCGCTTATCGGTAGGTGCAAACGACTTGCTCCTCTCTGGTTTCGGTGTGTTTCTTCTATGCGAGAGCGTAATCGTGAAGAAAATAGACGCGCCGCCACAAACTGCGGACAGTCACAAAATGACTGGACAGCTGTAGCAGAACGAGTTGCGGTAAGCATTACGTTGCATTCTCTCCTATGGTTGAAAATTTTCTTCCTATCTCTAAACCTGCTCTACGTTTGTTTTAGGTCTAGTGACCTTAGACTTATTAGAGCATCATTTATAGATTTTGCTCCAGCGTTTTGTCTCTTTTGACTTATGACCTAGGTTCGATCCAGTATTGATCAATAATTATTCTCATTATGCTTCCTTTTTGGACTAAGCTTATTGATTTTGTTCTGGAAATTCATTTGTTTGCCTATATTAATTTAATTTTGATTCACTTTATTCTGAATTAAGGCATCCAAGGTAACTTGTGTTCGATTATTCTTAGTTCGGTTCCTATGCTCTTCTAATTAATTATTCTTGTCCTAATTTTCTTCTCATATATTAGAGCTAAGCGATTCATTTTTAAAAATGACTTATTTTTTAATTTACTAACTTCTTATTCACATCTTTTATAATACATTGAAATTGTTCCTTTTTGTCCTCATGAATTATTTGTATTGAACCTTATCCTCATTTTGTTATACTAAAATTTGCCCTTATACTACCATTGTTCACAATTCCCTGTTTCTGCTTCTACTATTTCTGAACTCTTAGTGAATTAAACTTTGAACTACTTACTTTTCAACTACTTCAGCGCTTAACTAAAATCCAATTTCATTGTTTTTGTTCTCAACTATCCATTATTATTACATGCTTATTTACGCTTTTTATTTGTCTCTGCAAATCTTGTTTTTATAGTAGCCCAGTTGGGTTTAATAGCCTTACTTTCAATCTTTATCATTAAACTTATTAATATCTTTTGATCATTAGATAGATTTCTATATATAAGTCATGAAGAATTACCAAAATGAGGCGTTAAGTTGTTATAAAAGCAAATAGTTGCTCCTAAAATTTTCTGTTTAGTGGCTAAAGCGTTTGTTGACATTTTTAATTTCAAACGATCGAACCTCGCTTTTTATTCCACCTTTCTCCCACACCTGTCTACAGTTGTATTCTGTTTACTGCATTTAGAAATATTCATGTATTTTTTAAGTTATTAACCCTTTTGTGAATGCTAGTGCTACTCTGCATTCTATTTACGTATCAAGGATGTTATCCTTGTGTTTGCTATATTAGGCCGTACTATTGGACGTTGTGCGCTCATATGGGAGTATGAACGAATTATACAAATTTTGTAGTGACAGTCATGTATGATGGGATCTAAGCTTGTACTGGCATCACATTTATCTTATAATAATGTACTGTAATTAAAGGATCACGATAGCAAGTCAACGGCTATTCACCAATCCTATATCCTCGTATCACCCGTTCACTATTACAATTTCTTATTTAAATGTAGCATGGTGGGCCCTTGTTTAGCGGATTTCATGAGAACTCCCCAAACCCCACGCTGGCTTTCTCACCCCCTCACCCCACAATCCTCTTCCCATAGGTCTTGTCAGAGTCTCCATCTTGCCCCGTAGAATCCTCCTACCTTCATGGTTCAGGTATTTCACTCGACCCCCACCACCCTATCTGTACTACTCGAAGCGGTATTTCCCACACTATCTCAAGCCTTTGATGGCATGCCTTATCTCGCCTCGCTGAGTATGCCCCTAAAAATCAGGATTATTAAGTTGGATGGAGGACTAACTTGAGGCTAAAGAGTCCATCTAATTCTCATAGTCAAGTCCTTGCCTCATGGTTCACGTCTATGATGAAACATATCTACTGCTAGCCAAGTAGCTCTAGTCTCCTCCGCATCTATCGAACTTAATCAAAACAAGTAAAACTACAACATTTGTGGTTTGGTTCACAAGAGACTAGGGCATAGGAAGTCATAGACTTGGCATTATGGCTAAAAGCACGATATATTCGGCGGA